TTTGTATCGCAAATTGAACAGAGTATTTGTCTATTTACGTATTGTATCGAAATAAATCATATAATTATACGACTACACACAACTCGAGAGTACGTTATAAGTTTCAGATTTTATACCTCAACGACTCTGTCTTGCCCGCTTGGGAAATCAAGCCTTGTACTACACACAACAAATTTAATCAGAAGAAGTATTATATCTTATATATCTACATACTTATATATATACCAGAGGGAGACTGTACAAAAGTCGATTGCTTGGGTACCTTTGGCCCATTCGTGTTTCTACCGTGAAGCAGTTGTGTTTGCATGGCTGTGTTTCGGTTTGTAGGGTGGGATATGGCGTGGATTTACAGGGTACAGAGGAATAACATCTGAGTCCTCAGAAATGGCAACGCATGGGGGGTATCATGGGCGAATCAGTATACACTGTTATGTGCATGGTACTGCTCATGTCTATAGGCGACGGTCACCACTTTCCATCAAGTGGACCGTCAGTTGGTTTGCCATTCTAAGTTGTATAAAAAAAAATCTATAAATATTGAATGGTATGCTGAAGTTAGCTAAGATTAGACACCGCTTGCTGGATTATAGTTTTTACATTGTATATATTAATATTTTTATGCATTTAATAACTAAAATATTAATTTATCTTAATGCTTCTTAGACATTATGCTGTGGTTGCTTCTAAATGTAAGAACAGTTAGCCTTAATCCACTAGTGTATTGTATTGAAATGCTTCACTATACTTTATGTTGGTGATCCTATTATAATATAATATAATTAATAATATAATTGACTTCTGACTACCCTTGTTCTAAAGTTATTTGTCATTTATTCATTAATTAGAATTAAATATTAAATAATAATGAATGTAATGAACACACACAATGTATTTTATCTATATTTTTTATTATTTTTTCTATGGAATTTCGCGGCTCACTTTTGGCTACAATATAATATCAGTGTTTTGCTCTTTTTAGGGCAAAGCAATAAGCTGAGTGGTGACCATTTTGTGATACAGTGGCACACGCATAAAGGGAAAAATTTTTACTTCTTTTATGCATTTTTTAAAATTTTATTTTTTGTATATGTATTTTTTCACTGTGCATTTGTCATGTCTATTGTTGTTTGTGTGTTGTAAGTAATGCAAATAAATTATCTATCTATCTATCTATCTATATAAATCAATAAATAAAAAAAAACAAACAAACGAATGAAGGAATAAACATATAGTCTTATTTACTTCTTTGGATTAAATTATATATAAATATATATAATAAAATTACTGAAATTAAAACGTGAATATATGTTGTCACAAATATTTTATGAATTGCCTACGGATGTTTGTAACAACATATCGTCATAGTCGTAGAATACTGACGGATCTGACGAATATTACATATAAAGATCCGTCAGTATTCTACGACTGTGACGATATATACTAATCCACAAAAATGTAAAAGAAATGATAAAGTTCCATTATTTACTAAATAAACGACTGTGCTAGAATATATATTTAGCGCGTTTTTTTTTATTGATACTCTAAATAAATTTAAAAAAAAGAAAATTATTATAATTATGTTTTAATTTTAAATAAATAATTTAAAGTTTTAGGTTTTTCAATATGTATCAACTTAATTTTAGTTAGCTAAATAAATGAAAGATAGAGGGCAAAAGTGGAAGAGGAAGACCGAGGATTAACTACATGGGACAGATAAAGGAAACACTAGGCGTCATGTCGTATAGGGAGATAAAGGATATGGCCTGGGATAGAGCTGGCTGGAGGAAGATGCATGAATTAGTTGCACCGACAAGAGGAAACTCTTAAATGAGAAGAAGAAGCAATAAATGAAAAAGAAAACTATTATTATTATCTTTATTATATTTATTTTAAATAAATATTCATAAATATGTATCAAATTGCCATAAAATCTATTCCGCTGGCGAAGTGATAGAATAACACAGTTTTGCAGTCTTTAACATTTATTATAGTATTAACATATACACCCCTAGTGTTGCAAGCGTTCATAGGCTACAGTAACCGTTCACCATCAGAAGAGTTGAATGCTCGTTTGCCACTTTCGTGGTATAAAAAAAATATATAGTAATATTAACAGAAAATTAACTAATTGAACAAACCTAACTTTATGTTGGCATAAAGGACGCACAGTTAAGTAGTTAGTTAGGTGTAGTATTAGTGAATTAAGGGATGACAAAATAGGGTCTTTACTTAATATGGAGTGATCACTATCTTTAATGAAATCGACTGCGATTGACGAAGGGTTTTCGACCTCGTATCCCTTTAAGTACATATCGAGTGACTTAGAAATGTAACAGTATGGACGTTTTTATAATTTACCGTATGACGATACGATGTTGTACGATTTTACCGTTATGAAATAAACTTATTTTACTTCTTACTAATATTTAAATATTTAAATTGTATAAATAAGTATAATAAAAAATAATACAAGAGATCTTACAGAAGCTAACACAATAATTTTTAGAAATTTCGGTCTGTCTATTTGTATGTTCCAGCATCGCGTAGAAATTACCGCAGTAAATTGGATATGGTTAACGTAGTTGTGTTTTTGAAGGTCTAACTTAAAATCGGGATTTGTTTAATATACCACCGAAATAAGATCTACTTCGTTGGTTTTTCTACATCTGAAATCAACGCGAATAAAGTAACTAGCATAAGTCTTTTTTTTATATATACAACTTAGAATGGCAAACAAGCTGATGGCCCACCTGATGGAAAGTAGTAACCGTCGCCTATAGATATGAGCAGTACCATGGACATAACAGAGTATACTGTCGCCCATGATACCCCCCATGCGTTGCCATTCCTGAGGACTCAGGTGTTATTCCTCTGTACCCAGTAAATTCACGCCATATCCCACCCTTCAAACCGAAACACAGCCATGTAAACACAACTGCTTCACGGTTGAAACACGAATGGGACAGAGGTACGTAAGCAATCGACTTTTGTACAAAGTCTCCCTCTGGGAGAATAAAATGTAAATATGCCAATTTTTTTTTTGACCACGATATACTTGCGTAATATTGTCACGGTAAAATCATGCGATATCGTATCGTACTAGAGTCACTTAGAAGCTATGTATAGGCATATGTCTAGATAGACATATATGACGTATAGATGGAGCATTGATTCCTAAAAAAACATACAAAAAAGATCAACTATTCGACTCTTGTTTTTTCTTAGTGTTCAAGAGTCTGAAAGTGTATGGTTGTACCATTGATAATATAAAAAAAAAAATAAATAAAATGACAGTTTATGTGATAAAAGTCGCTTTGCAAGATTAACACAATTGTATAACGTACCAAAAACCTCGTTGTTTTAGAAAAAATAAACCGTTTTTATTGAAGCATTTCTAGGAAAACACTTTATCTACATATTATAAAGATCTATTGTTACAGATGGCAATATATATATATATTCCTTTCCTTCATTGAAATAATTCTGAATTATTATTTTTTTATTTTACCGCCCAATTCACGGAACAGTTTCAGGACAATGGTAAAAATATTCGATGATTTCTCTTTTAAAATAAAAGCACAATGATACAACTTTATGATGTTAGTTTGCTGTTTGATTCCGGCATAGAACGGGCTAGCCATCCTTTCTCGTGGGTATCGTAAGGGGTGATTAAAGGAACTTAATGGTTTAGGAATGGGTAGCAGTGTCCCTCTTAAAAAATCACTAAGAGCCTAACTGTGGTTGCCAATCCGTGTGCCAAGTGTGGCAACTGTTAGTTGAGAATAATCTATGTTATTCGCTGATAATGTAGCTTTCTACAGGTGAAAGAATTTTTAAAACCGATTGGATTGTTTTCGAGTTTATCCATTACAAATAAACAAACATAAAAATCTTTCTTTTTTTAAGAAATTGGCATAGATATAGATACAGAAACTCTTCTTTTCATAAGTCAGTTTTCAGAGTAACATCCTTATCCATACCAAGTAACGAGTATGGCTCAGCTGTGTTTCACCCGAGATCGATAACCGCTATTAATTTGTAAGTGACACACGCAGACTGCCAATAATGGTCCCGAGAGCATGTCTGCACTTAAGTAGGTGTTAAGCAGTTGATTTACTGTATATAGCTGTTTAATCGTCAGCGCTGACAAATTGGTGTGATTTGAGAGTCGATTAATATCCTTATTATCCTTATATCCGATTTTTGCAATAAAGAAATTGAACTCAATGCTATAAAACCACAAAGTTGAAAGTTCAGCTTCTGAGTAAAACCAATTGCGATTGCTTAATTGCTTCATTTTTTTTAGTAATATAGGAGGAAAAAGAGCATGCGGCTCTCTAATGGTAAATGATTATCATCGCCTATAGGCACCCGAAACTTCAGAGAAAATGCAGGTATATTGCGGGCTTTTTAGGAAGGAATATGCCCATTTTTAAGGTGTCAATGTTCGGAAATACTGCTATTTTTTCTACACAAATAATAGAATGGTAACGCTGCTTCCGCTGTTGGTATACGCTAGTGGGGTACCTGTGAGTGGTGACATATGAGGATGAACCAGGTCAGTTAGCCCATTTTGACGAATTCAACAAACATTGGCCACGATGGATTTCAGGAGGAACCGTGTAGGAGTCGACTTGACTGGGTATATTGCAAGCGATAGAGCATCAGGATAGATCCTTCTAACGAATACTCTACAGGCCTCTCTGTCTTGAGACATATAGATTGCTGACTGAGTCAGTTTGGATGCAGTTTTGTTTGAATTAGTATATCAAATTCGTGCTCCATCTTTACTGTTTTTACCTATCACGGACCAGACTATTACTCACTTGTTCAGATTATTTGATTTCCAGTGAGTTTCATGGTCGAACGTTAACGTTGTACGTATATATTTACTGCGTAAATGTAATGCGTTTAAAAGTATCTAAAATTGACGTTTACCACTAGGTGAATCTAATTGGCATACATTGTTTAAAAGGCTCACACTTGACTATTCCTTTCAGATACGAGACCTACAAGGCAACGCTGAAGAAGATCCCCGCGACGCGCCTCTCCAGGCTGACGGAGGCGCTCGCCAACTACGACCCGGTGCTCAACGAGTACTTCTTCGACCGGCACCCTGGAGTGTTCGCGCAGGTCCTCAACTACTACAGGTAACGTCAGATGCTATATTTATTTGTTTCAATGGAATACCTTTCTCGGAATCGAAAATTACGTATAGAATATCACACGTGTGCCAGCAAAACATAACGGCTGGACCAATTTCACTAATTTATTTTGTCAATTATTCGTTGATTTCCGAGAAAGGTTTCTATGAAGAGGAAAAATGGTAAAATTGCCCGGAAAAACGTATAATCCCCATTTTTCTTTTTCCTATACAGTTCAATAGGTTTCGACAGAACGTCTGTCGGGTCGGAGGGTACTGACTCATCTAATTGAAAAGATGAATGAAGCAAGATATAATAAGGATCTTCCTATCTCGAACTTCTCTGCTTATTCTTTAATAATCTTGGCGTGAAGTTAAGCAATTGTTAGCTATAATATTTGCATTTTATAAATATATTGATTTATAGGAATTTAAACCTCTTTTTTCTTCAGTTAAACGACTGATTTGATCTTAACTCTTTGCCATTGTCGTTCGAAGATTTCAGCTATGGTTTGAACCATTATCGGCTCCTTTATAAATCCACTGAATTTCTGTTGCGACAACGCTATCTTTCCGGAACGTTGAGCGTGGCAATATTTAAGTTTAATAAAGTTTTATCTAAGTAATATGGATTCGAAGCTCGTTAAAATTTGGGCAAATTATAAATTACATTTGCCATTAGTGCAGTGGTCAAATACACTTGTTAGATAGAAGCATATTTATTAAGAATTAATATTTATACTAATATTCTTTCACGTGACCGGGGATATCACGGCATAACCGGGATATCACCAAAATAATAAGTTACCTATATCCTTCTCTGTCCCATATAACACCGGTATACCAATTTCATAGTCATCAGTTAAATGAACATATTCCAAATTCGCAAGTAAAAGCTAGTAATGAATAAAATGTGATTTATTTATCCGCGACATCGTCTACCAAACCAAAGAAAGAAAGTGTATGCCAGATAACCAGGATATATATAGTGCTCTATATTATTCCCAAATTCGTGTATAATATAGTATATATCATATATGTATAAGTATATTTGTTATTCATATATATTTATTCGTTTATATATGTAATTTTAGTATGTATGTATATCAATAATTAGTAGTACCGCATTCGAGTATTCTGACACTTCCCTATGTTTGACTGTGAGAGAATGCTTTTAGCATTAAGTCCGCCATGTACACATATATGTACTAATGAATAAATAAATAAATATATTAAAACAAAATAAAAACAATTATATGTCCTTTTCTGTCTCAAATAGTACCAAATTTCGTGATTATTGGTACTAGTATAGTATTATATATTCTATGCTTTTGGTTAACCCGATAAAGCGTCGAAAAGTAACAAACAAAGTTTGTTTGTTTGTTAACTTTTGTTGCATTAACGGTTTAACCACTAGTACTCGTATAGAAAATATAGCACTTTCACATTCATACTATATACTACATTCGTACATTTATAATATTAATAAAGATAATCTATGATAGGGGAAAATAGATTATTAGTAATGGGAAGTTTTTTTTTAATGGATGATAATGGAATGGTAACCTCGCTTGCGCTAACGGTATACGCTGGCAGGCCACCAGCGAGAGATGATAGGTGAGAATGAAAAACCAGGTCAGTTAGTCCATTGTGATGAATTCATCTGGAATTCAGCACGATGTTTTCCATGGTGGACCACATGGAGGTCGACCTGTTTGGACATATTGCTAACAATGCGACTGGTAGTCCGCATTACTAATAATACCCTCTCCCCCCTAATGGGAAGGTTAGTCCCCATTGCTATCTTTCATTTTATAATGGATGATAAAGGAATGGTAACTATGCCTGCGCTAACGATATACGCTGGCGGGGCACCAGTGACGGGTGATAGGTGAGGATGAAAAGGCAGGTCTGTTAGGTAATCGTGATGAATACATCTGGAATTCAACACGATGGTTTTCAGGGGGCACCACGCGGAGGTCGACCTAACAGGATGCATAGCTAGTAATGGAGCTGGTAGTCCGCATTACTAACAATACCTCCCCCCCATTGCTAACAATATACTCCACATGGTTGCTCCTAGAATATATCATAGTACCTCATTGGTACCCCGTCAATGTATATTGATAGCTTAGGTATACCATTTTATTATACAATCTCTAATGTGCATACAGATGATCTGATAAGACCTGTTTTCTAAAATATTTATTGAAATGCAAGCACACAACACACACGCACACACACGCGCGCACACACACACACACACACACACACACACACACACACACACACACACACACACACACACACACACACACACACACACACACACACACACGCACACATGCACACACGCACACACGCGCGCACACACGCGCGCGCGCGCACACACGCACACACGCACACACGCACACACGCACACACACACAAACTATTACAAATTATTGTATATATTTATATTAAAATTATATCTATCCATATTAGTTAATAGGTTCCCCAGATACAGGCTCGACCCATATAGGGACCGTTGTTAATCAATTTTGTAATGCACTGTTTGAAATAAAGATTATTATTATTGTAATTCATTAAAAAAAAAATATGTTTTCTATGGTTTTAAAATGACAAAATTGACGCAAGAAATTCCGGCCCACAGGTTACACCATCAACTTGTTTACTCAACATGCAATTCCCTTGCTACGAGTACATCGGACGAAACTTAAAACAACAATGAAATTTTACCGTTTTCACATTACTTCTGTTTGTGTGTTTGTTGCGGCGAATTTTACAAACAGTTGCCTCGACGACTGTGCGCCGTAAAGTGTCGGCGGACTTTCTTCGAGTTGTTCACGATTAGTATTCCACGAATGTGGTTTACGATTCCTTGATTGCTTTGTTATTTATGTAAAAATAATTTGAACACTTTTACACAACGTTCTTGACATATAAACATATAATAATATACTAATGATAACTAAAACGAGAGGAGGCCTAGTATATACTAGGCTTCCCCCATATGGGTGGTTTTGATGATGTTTAAAGAAGTCTACTGCCCGTCCTTCGACCTTTGACAATTCTATAATGATGAAATTGAGTTTATTTATTGTCTCAAGTAATCGTCATAGGAGGGGAGGGATTGTTAATAATGGACGCTAAAGGCCTCATTGCTAGCAATATATCTAACCAGGGCGACCTCCACATGGTCACCCTGGAAACTTCGTGCTGAATTCCAGGTATATTCATCACGATGGGGTAACTGATTGCCGACTGCTTATAAAAATCTTTAGATGGATGATGTAAAACGTTTTGTACGGGGATCGCATGTCGCCGCTCATTTGTCATATGTCAGGTGTCAACTTGACACAATCCTTCAAACTAGGGATTAGATTGCATTGTCATTAATCTGTAACTCGATATCGACATACCGAGCACCATCGCCCGTGCAATTGCAAATGCTTATAAATAGAATTTTTCATTATATTTCCAAAATCTATACTTGTTTATTTACTTGAAGTTTAGGTAAGCTCCGAGTTTGAGTTCAAACAGATTTTAATATTTAAACAATCGGTTTCGAATTATAGTGTATTATTTAGATTATATATCTGTATACGAGCGTGCAGCTGTACAATCTTTTTCTTTATCTAAGTATCCATCGTGTCTATGCTAGATTATAAACCATAGATTAATATAGTTCTCTAAAGGGTATCATACACTACCACTTATAATCGATTACATATATCATGGCTCGCCGTGTGTACCGTGTGTACCACGGTATAGAATGGGCCACCCATTTCTTTCCCGTGGGTGTCGTAAGAGGCGACCAAGGGAGGGCGAGGGATAGACAGCAACGTCCCTCTTAAAACATCTCTAAAGTCTAATTGAGATTGCTAATCCGCCTACCAAACGTGGCAATTACTAGCAAAACTCTCTAAGGGGAAGAAAGAGGCAGTTAAAGGCTGATATGATGATGATCATCATCATGATGATGATATATGTATACACCTATAAACATATGCCTATTTTATCTTCAACTCATTCGTCAAACTAGGTTATATATTTTTTTAAGTTCTATTGAAATAATAATAGGTAGGCACTATTTTTGACGCAGAAGGACCGGCCATTTTAAATAATAAAAATTTAATATTATCCCGGTCACGCGGACGTGGTCGCGGACTCACCTAGAATTATAAACGAGAATTCGCGTTTCTTGTTTACCTTTCGCCGCCTTAACGGCTCGACTAGTTGTTATAAAGTTTGTCATACACATAGTATTTGGCTTGGAGAAAGATTTCTTGTTTTAATGTCAGGGAATAATTTTACTTAATAACTGTTTTGTGGTAGATTTTTACGATACTTGCAATGTTAAGCGAGCTTATCTTGTCTTGACAGACAGACAAATAGGCAAACAGATAGAGAGATAAAATTTCTAAAAAAAATATTGTATAGCAATAGAAACCCTATTGCTTTTAATTAATACTTTTCATATTAATTGTTCTCAAACATCGTTTAATTACAATTTTATTTTTAAAATTTATGTACACTTTTTATTTAATATGTATAGTTATGTAGTACATATGTAACGAGAAATTAATGAACTCACTGTGTTTTTCGTTTCCGGATATTTTTTTTTGCAACTTAGAATGGTAAACAAGCTGACGGCCCACTTGATGGAAAGTGGTAATTGTCGCCTATAGACGTGAACGTTACCATGAACATAACAGAGTATACTGTTTTGCCCATGATACCCCCATGCGATGCCATTCCTGAGCACTCGCGTATTTCTCCTGTACCCTATAAATTCATTGCTATATCTCACCCTTTGAACCGAAACGCAGCCATACAAACATAACTACTTCACGGTAGAAACACGAATGGTACAGAGGTGCCCATGCAAATGACTTTTGTACAAAATCTCCTTCCAGTAAATGTATCGACTTCATTTGCAAAGCGGCATACGCCCCCTGAAGAAGACTTCCGGATAAAGTCGAAACATGTAACGGAAATTTAATG